TTCTGGAAAGGGGATGGCGTACGCTTGCTCGACCCAAGTGCTTGGCCCTTCACCACCGCGAACAGCAGTGGCGTTGCTGGACCAAAATTTGGGAGAGAGGGAGGTGCAAGGCGCTTCCAAAAGAGAACAGCTGGCTGACCCCCCAGCATTACTGCCATTGTTTTTTCTGGTTATATAGATGGAGGCCAAGTTTGTATCCCCAAACTCGGAGAGTCGGAAGCTGAAGCAAGTCATTCGGCTGTCGACAACTCAACATTCACCTCATGATTTGTCCAAAGCCTGAGCAAGCAATCCCCAATATGGCATTTGGTCAAAATGGCACGGGGAGTTGTTGGTTGGACTCAGCATGCCCCACCATTAACCTAAAAACAACCTGAAAAGTGCAAACCAATGTGCTGTTGAACAGATTTGTATGCCAGGTGCCCTTTGTAGGATGTCCTTCCTCGACATTAGTGTTCACTTTAAGCCAGAATGGGATGCGATCATCATCGTGCACTCCCTGCGGGCCTTTCGCGGACCCTGCGCGGGTCACTTCTCAAGACAAAGGCTCCGGCTGCTCTTTGGGATCAAGTCTGGAAGGAAGTGGAAGAGGAGAGGAAGCAGTGACTTGGGCAGGTCGGTGTTCTATCCAGTTCTATCCTATTGCTCCTGTTGTGTTACTTTTGCTTCAAGCCACCTTGCTTTGCTCAAACTCTTGAGAACCAAGCTCCATCTTTCCACCCGTGATAATTTATATAATAATAGAATTTAGAAGTGAGCCAGGTTTGTCCATCGTAGGGGGACCATGCGTTCATGACCAACTGCGGTCGTTTGAGTTTGAGTAGCTAATCCGATGGCAGGTACGTGAGCTAGTCTTCCAATGGCAGGTGCACCTCTGAACCGGAATCAAGATGGCCCAAGAACAATACCCAGATATATGTCGATGGTCCACACCTCTTTTGATTGGTGCTTCAGAAAGGAAAGAACCCTGAACATATAGGCTGCTCGCACGATAAACCGTTGCCAGCGACGATCGCACGTTCGATCCCAGCGACGACTACATTCCCCGAGGCTGGCAGAGAATGTGCCCCTGCCACGCGCAAAGGTGGAGACTTGGTGGTCGCAAATCAAAGCGCAAGACCGCCCATTGCTCCTCGGTGGGAAACTCCTGCGGCCGTACCGAAGGCTGGCACCGAACGAAAAACACGTTTTAATAACATTGCAACGTGGGTTTGGCAACCTCCAGTTTGCAGAGAACTACATATAAGAACCGCCTAGCAACGTCCGTGGGTTGGTCACCTTTTCGCTGAACAGACGCGTTGGGCTCAGGAGGATGTTGAGAGATGCGCATCTTTGCTCTCCTGACTTCTGCTTTGGCACCTTTCACCTGACAGGTGCCACGGTTTGACCGCGACGAGGGTTGTCCGTGGACGAGTGCGACATGTGTGGCGGCCACATGCCGTTGAGGGTTGGGAGCCAAAGACCCCGCCAAAGACCAGGACAAATAGGATATAAGAAGATGATGTTTGGGTGCTGCATCAAGTTCTTGGTGAAGAGCAGACCTACCTCGCCGGTCAATGAGGAGTTCTAGTTCAAGTTAGATGCAGTCCCCAGGGCAGTGCTTGCATTTGTGCGATGGTCTACAACATTTTACAACACGTGGATGATCACGTGGCATGGAGGTGGGTGACATGTGTTTGTTAGATAGAGGACGTCTTGCCCGGTACAGCAGTTTCGTGAACCGGAAGGTATTTTCGTCCATGTGTTTTTGGCTTCGCCCGAAGGCTCCCAGAAGTGCATTTGCCGGAGAAGCCATGAGGAGATGGCGATGATGATTTGAATGAGATGATTTGGATCAAAGGGGAGTCGACGTCCCTCACAGTTAAAACAGTTTTGTTGATCACTGGGAACAGCCGGCCGACTTTTGACCCATGGCCAGAAGGTGTTTCACCTGTTTTGACATCAATGCACACCTTTGGTGGACCCCATGTTTTGAACCGCCCGAATTCCATGAGAACGGAATAGAATGAGAATAGGAGATTGAAACATATTGAAACAACGGCCACACGGTCAGCCGAGGCCATGCAATCATGTAGAAGACTTGGAGCCACATACATCGATATTCTGCAATGTGTTCACCACTGGTTTGCCAGCACCAGCCATTGCCAACGGCCGGGACCTCGCCGTTTGGGCGGTCCCGGTGTCGAAATCGCGGCAGCGAAGCGGCGGCACTTGAAGCGGCCACTGCCACAGCTAGGCAGATCTTCCCCTGATCTTCCTGCCGCGGATGGTTGAGCTGTGCTGCGAAACGAGCGCGGAGTCCTGCGGAGTGTCCTCCGGAGTCCGGCGCAAAGGGGGAGAAAGATGAGAAAAGGAGCCAACCCCATGGCTCGATCCATGGCCTGCGGCGCAGTGCGCAGTGCGGTAGAAAAGGGACATGTTTTCTCGTTTTGCTTGTTGTGTTTGTCATGCTTAGCAAAATTGATGGCTTCCCATGAGTGCTCCCAACAGTGTGCCACACCTGCTGCTTGCGCGGAGGGTCTCATCGCTTGTTTGAGGCCCCCCCATTTGCAGGTGTTTACAGAACTGATTGCTGATTGCTACTTGTAGATTGTTGCCGTCAATGAAAACGGTGAGGGGGGTCGCTTCTGTACAGTCTATCGCCTGCAAGCATTTTACAACTGCGTTACACTGCGATTCAAGTGGCATGTTACTCTTATATACTTTTATTGAACATGAGCTATATACTAACTATGCTGGGCAAGATGAGCAGCTACCTCGCCTCAGCTTGACAGAGACATAGATTGGGCACCCAACTGGGATGGGAGGTCCCAACCCCCCCGGTCTTTGATAGCGACCGGACCCCCTCCAGGTCGGACCTGCTCCTTCGCAGATCTACTGTACGTCCAACTGTTGGAGACCTGGACGACGAGACGACGAGACTGCACACAAAGCGGCCGCAGGCTTCGCACCTCCAGGGAGTCAGGTTAACTAGGAGCCCCGTTCGTAGCGTCCGATCGCTCCTAGTAGTACGGCCAGGAGCCCCTAGTAGCGTCCTTGCTCCTAGTAATACATGCTTTGGCTGGAAAATCCCAGAGATGGATAGCGCTTGAGGGCTGGTTTCCTCCAGAGAACTGCTGGTAAGGTGACGATGCACTTGGCATCGTAAGACTTTGGGAGGAGCTCGCGGACTGCTGTCCAAACTTCCGCAAGATTATTCCAGACAAACGGATCCTAATTTGAGACCAGCGACGCTGCTTTTGTGGCCTTTACATCACACAATCACTCAAAAATGTTATAAGTATTTAGTTAGATAATATATAATATATATATATACTATATAATATATCTAATAGGTAATTAATATGTTGTTCCTTGTTATTGCATTGTGTATTCTTGAGTCCGACCTAAATAAAACAACTTGCTACAAGAACTGGACAGATGTTTGGGCTTAATCAGCTTGGGCTGAAGTTCCGACAGGCCCCCCTCTACATATATCTAGGTATATCATATCTCCTTTTTCCTTTAAGGTTCGCGAAACCTAGACAGTTGAGTACAGTAGTGCTTAGTGCTTCATACTGATTCATACTCCTGAAAGGTGATGTGAAGACTAGGAAAAGAACTTGTTCAGCCTCTTGGCAGGCACATGCAGGCATTTCAGGAGTCATCAATACCCAGGGGGGCAGCTTCGGGTGTGCTGAGGTACTAAGGACTTCCTCGACTGCTTCCTGGGTGCCTTGCGGAACCCCAGCCTGGCCCTTGGGGGGGAGGAAGAGCCACGTCCCTCGCGGGGAGTGGATGGAATGACTTAGATATACTGCAATGGTCCCCTTTCGAGATTTGCATCCATTCCCGGATTCCTGATGAGACGAAGAAAAGACACAAGTCAGACAAGGAAGCTGATGTTTTGAGCATGCTGCTGCACTACACCAGGGTTCTCAACCTTTTTCACTGTACATCAATAATCAGGGGTGGCGGCTAGCTGTGTCACCCCTGGCGTCAGGAAGTTGGATAGAAACACAAGTTGTCAAGCACTCCCCTCCAGCCAATCATGAAAGAGCAGAAGTTGTTCATCTTCACACCATCCCTTCTTCAAATCCTCCAACGACGGCTGACCACGCCCAATCGCGCCGTCGGATCTTCGCCCCAGCGCCGTTGCACACCGATCCTTTGCAGAGAATGGGGCCATGGTCCCCTCCCTGGGATCAAAATGGAAGTGGAAAATGCACTGGTTGTAGAGGAATATTGCCGTCCAAGGGGCCATGTTCTACTTCCATGTCACTTCCAGGGAGTTGGTGGAGCCCTCAACCATCAAGACATGTTATTACTTTCTTCCACAGCGGCAAGTGCATCCACTTTCCACCTGCCAAACAGCTTTGTCCGCTGCACTAAGGCAGTTGTCGACCAGACGTCCCTGACACTTTGCTTGAAGTGTAGCACCAAAAACTGAAAGGTGCGGCCAAACTTTGCATGCGCTTTGCAGGGTGGCTACTTATTGAAAATCCTGCACCACTGCATCACCTGAGAAACGTACCTAGTTAGTTTTGATTACATGTATTCACAGTGCTTGGGTGTTTCTTGTTGCTGAAGGCCTGGTTTGCTTCGACAATTCAACAGGGTTCTCGGGTTCTGATACCGTATGCACGGTTTGTTTTTTCAGATGGAGATTCTAAGTTCGACATCCCTTTGGACAGACAAACAATAATGTTGTACCAAAAAATTGGGGATGGCCAGAGGAAGGAACCTAGGCAACTTACTCGCTTACAAGAGCGCACTCAGAGGGTAACAACGCACTCAAGAGAAGAACTAGCTCACCTAGTCATGTCCGGGAAGCCCAACACATAATGATGAGGTAGACTCACATGATTGTTGGAGGAGAAAGAAGGAACTAACAGCTTGAAGCTAAAACATGAAAACAGCTGTGACGCATCACGAGCCCCGCTGCAGAGGGGGAAATACCAAACTGAATACTGTGTTTGTCTCCAGCGGGGCTCGTGTTAGATGGTTGATGCAAAATAGCCCTTTTAATGTGTTTGCTCGAAACTGAACTGGTCTTTCTCGAAACTGGTCGCCTTTAGAGCATGGCTTTGGGAATAGAGTCTAGAGTCATTGAAAACTTCGTTGGAGTTGCACTGGACTTGGGAAGCACACAATGGGAGGCTCCCGCTCGGATTCCGGATCGTTGCTCAAGCGCTTTCGTCGAATCACGTTCCTCGTCACTCCCGTTAACTAACCGACTCCTCGGCAACGTCGATTGCCGGCGGTGCGTTATGGAGAACGCACAGACTCAGACTCATCCCGCTTGGTGTGGCATCTATGGTGTTGGGATCATTTTCTTTTTGGTTCTTTATGGAATCTTTCAAGAAGGAATCATGACAGTGCCCTACGACGGTGTCCTCTTCAAGTATTCAGTCTTCTTGGTGCTATGCAATCGCTTGGCGGCTGTGATATTTGGCTTGGCAATGGCAGTAGCGAAAGGCGAGAAGTTGACAAACCAGGCACCACTCTGGAAGTACTTGATCGTGTCTTTGTCCAATGTTTATGCAAGCACCTGCCAATATGAGGCCTTGAAATATGTGTCGTTTGCAGTGCAGATGCTGGGCAAAAGCTTCAAGATGATGCCAGTGATGATTTGGGGCATGATCATCTCAGGAAAATCTTATGGCTTACGTGACTGGGGCGTGGCTCTTGCGGTCACACTCGGGTGCACAGAATTCTTGATGACCGGACCCACGAATTCCAAAGTGGACTCTGGGAACAGCATGTAGCTTGGACCTCCAAGCTGTCTCTCATCGTTTGATGTTTTCAGTATCTTTGTTTCTTTGCCTAAATAGGTTCCACAGCAAACCTTTCAAGAGAGCCGAGGTGGGGCTTTGTGCTCTTGGGTGGGTTTTTAGCACTGGATGGATTAACATCTACTTTCCAGGAGAAGCTCTTCAAGGAACACCAGACCACGAAGTACAACCAGATGGTCTACATCAACAGCTTGTCAGCCACCGTCTCTACCATGACCCTTTTGGTCACAGGTGATTTGATGCCGGCCATTGGCTTCGGTTTGGAGCCTCGGCGGTGCTGAAATTTCGTTAGATCAGCTTTTTACATCATTCAAAGCACAGGAAAAGTTCTGGAGGGAGCGCTATGTGTATATACAAATATATATATATATGTGTGTGTGTGTGAAAACAGTTAAACAGGGGGTGTCAAACCCCTCACAAACTTAAGGGCTCCTCCCCCACCCAAACGCCCGCTTCCACCTTTGTTCGCCTGAACCATCCTGAACCTAAGGTGCCTGTCGCAGATATATCAGATACATTTGTGCAATGGGCACGGTTTTTTCACATGTATATATATATATATGTGTATTTGCAACAGTGTAACCATTGTAGTCAGTCAACACAATCAGAATTGTGATCTCACAAGCCACGGCCCAGGCACATCCCAAGTTTTTACTGGACAGCACCTTGTTGAGTGGCTCCGCTGTCGCCAGCCAGTGGTGCATCTATTCCCAAGTGAAAGAGTTCGGAGCCTTGGTTTTCGCGGCCACCATGAATGTGCGCCAAGTGGTGTCCATCCTTGTGTCCTATGTGAAGTATCACAACCCAGTGACCGGGCTTCAGATTGTGGGCTTGGTGATCATTTTTGCGGCCCTGTCGTGGAAATCGCTGTCAGGGCTTCTGAAGGCGCAAGACCCAGAGAAGAAACCGCTCATGGATGCAGAAAAGCCAACTGCCATGGACAAGAAGGTTTGAGATGGTTTGAGTATGTTTGCCTTGCGCGTACAAAGATCGCGATCCGCGATCCTAGTCTGACCTATTTTCTTTGCAGCGAACAAGTGCCTGAGCTGCGTGAAAGTGCGGGTGGCGGAGCACTGAGTTGCACAGCATGTTTCAGTAAGAGACTACGAAGCTTTGTGTCCAACCCTTTTGTTGTTCATTTGTTCCAGCGAGGATCAACATTGTATGATGCAGTTCGTGACCGGTCACAAAGTATGGAGATTCAAACATGAATGAACATGATATGCTTTTTGGGCTGCTTGAGCATTCACTGCCAATACCTGGTGGACTTCGATTCCGGATCATTGCCTTTTACTGTAAGGGCTTTAGGGACGACACTCTCCCTCTATAAATATATATATATATATAAATCAATGTATGTATACGTTTCCTTTACGCCGTTGAGGTGTTGACCATATGCATGGCGCATGCGGCACCAGGCTCAAGGCTCAAGACGCGGCAGACTGCGCCGCCTGCGTAACCGCCTTGCTGGGCAAAGTGCATGGGCTAGTCGTGGCCAAAGTTGCCAGGACTGCGCCTAGCCTGGCGCCTGGCCTAGCCGCAGGCGGCCCAGGACGGCCCAGGATGTTGGGATGCTGCAGTGTGTAGCAATGCCATGTCAAGCCGGAAGAAAACCTTAACTTTGATGCTGCTTGAAGTCCCCACGGTCTTTGACCCTCTTGGTGGAAGAGACCAACAGGTTGTTGTAAGGTGGTTGACAATTGAAGTTTCTGTATTCAGTTGTCCAGTCTCTTCAATTAGGCCAAGTGAGATGGAAGAGACAAAGGGTGAAGCTGTGTTGATCATTTTTGTCCGGGTAGTTTTACTTGACTTACGTTGGAACAGATCAAGTTAGTTCTTGAAAGGCCACGTAATTTAGGGGTTGCCACAAACATGTAAAATGTGTTTTTCGTTGTAGGGAAACGCTCATGTTTAACTCCCCTGAGATGATTTCAAGAAAGTACCAGAAACCCAGTCAGGCAAAAGGTTTCCAACATGTGCATGTCGAAAGATTCTTACAAAACCATGAGCCGTGGACCTAGTATGTGGATGTATGAGGGAAGAACAAGCTTCACAAGAGGATACTGGGCTACATGACTTAAAAAGTCCGCAAATCACTGGTTGGTCACGTTCATCCGTGGATGTTGACCGGACCGCCAGGCCGGACAATGCCAGGTGGGTGCCGATCAGATCGGTGGTTGGGAATGAACCTGGTGGAACCTGGTCGAAGTCGAACAATTTGTGTCATTTGTTCGAGCCAATGTTGAGTTCGGCCATTAGGTTTGCCATTTTGCTGCTCCCCAAAAAATTGTGAAATGCAATGTGAGCACAGCTCTTGTGAGATGACCCGTGGGCCCCGTGGGCTCTTGGCACACGCGTAAGGGAGCACTCGCGCTCCCTTGCGGTTGAGGCACTCTGAGGGCCCTGCACACGGCGCTGCTCTTCGAGGGCCAGCCTTCAGGCGGGACAACGACGCCAGTGCAGGCGATGATGCAAAATCCCGTGCCTCGCCGAAGATCTGATCAGTGCCGTTCGTGGGGGGGACCGGATGTAGTTCCAGTGGAAAATTGCGGAATCATGGAAGTGCTATGGTGTGGCCCATTTTCCACCATGAAATCCTCTAGCAACAGGTGGTTTTCCACTCGCTTCCATGATGATTCCAAGGTGCGTAACATATTTCAGCTGTGGAGTCAGATGTTCGAAGGAAGCAAAAGCAGCCTGTCTTTTTGCTGTTGGCGTCGGAAGATTCCACCTGCACAGGCTCAGGGGTGGAAACCGAGCGTCAGCGTCGCCCATGAAGATGGGGATCCCAAAAAGCAGTCCATGCAATGCGCCCCAGCATAGAAGAGTCCTGGACCTCCATCAGCTTGGATTCCAGGAAATCGGCACCTTTCAATGGGAGCCACAACTTGGCTGGAAAGAAATGGTCCCATCGCTGGTCCTAACCACAACCACCTGCAAGCACCACAATCTGCCAAGGCGCTCTTCAGGATCATCCTATTGCTTGCTTTTTGGCTTTGGATGTTCACATTTGTTCACATCTTACACAGGATCATGTTCCTATGGTGTTTTGGGGGTGTTTTTCTGTTGGGGGGGTTGCCCTTTGGAGCTATCGGTTGATTGGCTTCCCCGGTTCTCCCCCTGGGCCAAGGAGTCCAAGATGGAGGGCCAGGCACGGCAAAGCGTCAGCCGGGTGGACCACAAAACGTCCCCAGCCGCGGCAACCATCGAAAAACATCGAGAAAGAAAGAAACTGTAAAGACCGAGGCCAGAGCTTTGAGAAATGTAAGTCTGGCCGGTGGTTTAAAACAATGAATTCGTCTAATTCGATCCATGTTTGGGGTAAAATGAATCCATAAGATGTAGAATAGATCCTTCAATCTTCCCACCGGCATGGCTGACCTTCTTCAGGGGGAGAGGCGTTCGTTCGGAATGCCTCAGGGTCACACGATGAGTGGGCTCGAAACAGAGCCAATGATGGAAAGGGCTTGCTTGAGCCAGACTTCCCTTGTGCATCCTTGTGCCAAACCCAAATCATTCGGTTTAAGGCTTAAGGATAGGGGTCAACATTTCCTGCATAAAATGACTGGCCCTGGGGCCCGTATAAAACGTTTTTGTTTAGACCCCTAAAGTGACGATGAGGCCCTCATTTTATAGAAAAAAAAAAACGATGTAGCCCTCATTTTGTAGAGATTTCGTACTGGTGGTTAAATGCATGGACTGCAATTTTGTACAGAAGCATCTTCTGATTTTGCACTCTCAAAGACCAGCCAGCCAACCAATTTGTAGAGAAGGATCGGAGGGTCGACGGGGTGTTGAGGAATTCAAGATATATTTTTTATACAGGTTTGTTGTGTGTCGACCATTGAATTCGCACACCAAATCAAAATTATGCAGAGATGAAATCCTTGTACCTACTCCTATCTAGTATGACCCAGTCTCATCTTCTCCATTCTATTCTCCGAATCTCTTGGATCCCTCTTTGGGTTGAAGCATGTTGCAGCCTGCGTGATCCAGAGATTCTGTAAGTCGATGGTCCCTATTGTTGAGAGTGCCCTGGCTCTGCAAAATGACAGCTCTTTTCATAATACAGACCCGCTTACCCTTACCATTTGTTCTGTTTGATGGGCGTCCCTGAAAGATCATTTTTTGGAGCTCTTATTGTTCTACAAAATGATAGCTCTTGTTTTATCTTGTATCTTTCAAGATCCTTGTACCTACTCCTATCTAGTATGACCCAGTCTCATCTTATCCATTCTATTCTCCGAATCTCTTGGATCCCTCTTTGGGTTGAAGCATTGTGCAGCCTGCATTGTCCAGAGATTCTATAGAACGGTAGTCCCTATTGTTGAGAGTGCCCTGGCTTAACAATATGACAACTCTTTGCATATTCCACCCAGTCTTTACAAAATTAATGTAAGCTATGCTTTTGCTGTTTCCCCCTTTGCATCCATTACAAACTGATGTGATCTTAACCTTTTGGTTTGTATGAAATGCTGGGACTCATCGTCATTTCTTGGCTGGTAGGGCTCCAGCGTCTCCAGTACAACATCCCCAGCATATTAGCTATATTTTCAACTTAAAATGTCCTCGAAACACCAGATTCGTAGTATGAAAAATCAATTTAGACATCTATTACGAATCAAGAGCCCATCAATCTATACAAAACCACTTTGTTTGCCCACCATTTTGTAAAGACCACCCTGTGTCCCGATGGATTGTGTCTACAAAATTGGGGCCGCATCGTCACATGAAATTTCAACCGGGATGCTTAAGGTATCTTAAAATCACAGTTGAAAGCATCCAGTCGTTTTCATAGGTTGGCTTCTTGCTGAGCATATGGATGAGTCAATAGATGAGTGGAAGTATGACCGATGTCGTCATCGATGTTGGCAGACATCACTGCGCTGTCCGACATCGATGGAACTGGTCGAATCGAAGGCTCAAGGAGCGCACTGTTAGGTACTAGTAGCAAGGGCATCGCTATTAGTAACAGGTGCATCGCTACTAGTAGCAAGAACCTACTAGTAACAAGGGCATTACGACTAGTAGCAAGAAGCTAGTAGCAACAAGATGTTTGTACTTTCCCCAGTGGCTCTTTCTTCAACATATCCCACAGGGATCACCAACGCACACGGCTGTGATTCAGAATGACTCATGCTGACTCAGTCCTCACCAATCAGACGTGCAATAACCTGCATGTTTTGGAGGCTTTCCTGCAGCTACTGTTGAAGGAAATGTTGCAGCACCCGAGATACAGTAGATCATATCCCTGCTGCACTTCAAGGAGCAACTTGAAAAAGACCAGGAAGAAGGACGAATCCAATGCTTCCGGCAGTGGTGATTTTCCCCTATCAGGTTGGAGGCCATCGCTATTGAGCTCCTTTTGCTATTAGGTCTCCCGCTGAAAGTGCTGGGTCTTTCCGGCTGAACGTGCGCCAGGTGCACTGGCCAGATCAGGAGGGCTGCTATGCAGGCGAGACAAACGACGCAAACTCGCCCACCGATCGCACACGGGTGAGTTCCTCCGGTCCGGACCGGAGGTAAAAGAGTTGGGCTTGTGGGTCACATTTTTGGAAAAGAAAGCTTTGTCACAATTGACCAGTATGATCCACAGCCGGATCTTCGGATCTAGGTCAAAAAGGCGGAGACACCCTGCAGGATGGAGGCATCCGAGGTCTGGAGATTTGATCGGCACACACACCGCGAGGTTCTTGAGCCGCCATTGGTGTGCCCACCATCCATTTGCCATGTATAATGACCCGCACCACGGAGTTTGGGTGGTCTATAGACACCCCTCACGATGCATTTGTCATCCAAAAGCCACCCAAACTGGGTTGTGCGCAAGTAGATGGTATTTGGACCAATGAAATCCTGGAGCTAGGGACTAGGTACTGGTCACTGCGTCGTCGCAACCTCCGGATGTTTGTTTTTGTTGGGGCTGCTGGAAACAAGGACCTGGACATGAAATTGTGTGTGTGTGTGAGTCAAGACCGTCTACCCCGTGTTTGAAGGGGCTGGGGTGCTTTTTCACCAGCGAACACTTCAAGTTCACCAAGCGGTTTGCAACCTTGAAGCAGTAGTTGTTGCAATCTCAAGATGGTGGTACCAGCTATAGAGGCCCCCAAATAGATAGAAACGATATAGAAACGATTTCCAATACATTCTTTAGGATTTACATTTCTTGTTTTGGTGCATCTCTATATCTTATAGGATGCTTATCCTTTGGTGAGGCTGTGCAGCCGACAGCATGGCCGGGGGCGTCGGGGTCCTAGAGGGCCGCTTGCACCACCATAGAAGGACCTTGGAGGGACACCTAATCACCTAATCGGCTGCTGATTTAGATTCGCAAATACAAGTGGAAAGGGAGCTGCATAGCCGCATAGCTCTCAGGTTCCAAAGGATCTTATTCGCCTGTGTGTAGGTGTCAAATGCCAGCTGGTCGAAGCAATGATGCGTGAACACTGGAACTGGGTGAAACCCATCAGTGACAGAAGACATGTTTGATCTTTTTTTGTATATCTATTATCTATATGGTTTGTTGCGGTTCCCTTTGCTTTTCTTTGCGCAAAACATTCGGCTAGGACCAGGAGGAAGGTCATTTTTCATCCTGGCACCTCACAGTCTTTGATTTTGTTGGCGCTCTGATTGTGGATGGTAAACCGCTGCACCAGCTGAATTTGGAAGACCACACAGTCAGTTGCTGAATCATTTCACGCGCCACTTTGCTAGATGCACCCAATCCCCAAAGACCTGTGGAAAATTAGCAGTCCAGTTCGACTTCTTTTTTTCGACTCAGCGTCAGACGCAGCAGAGCAGAGCTCATCCGATCCCAACACCGAGTGACCCCAATCATTCGGCACGTCTTGACAGGTCATCCCAGGTGACCACAGTGGTTTTCAGAGGTTCGATGACTACTACTACTAAATTACTAAGTGACACTCAAGGTCGGTTTAATATTGGACCCCCCAATGTTTAACAAAAAAGGATCTTGGGGGTGCCAGTGCCATCGAAGGATTCTTGAATTCAATGTACCCGAAAATGCACCGCGCTGAGAAAACCTATGGTTCCTTGACGCCTCCGCACTTCTTTAAAGAGCCTGATGAGGACGGGAGGGACGGGAGATAACAGGCGCTGAACAAGCGTCTCCAGGTTCTTGTTGTTTGATAATGTTTGATATACGCCAGCTCAAGATATATAACTTATAACTATAAATATATTGCTTGTCATGTGTTCATCACGGCATCCTACCTCTTAAAACATTTACCGACTTTCTCCATGCGGTTTCTGATAGCAAAGCTGAGATGGGCAGGAGTCACCCACCTGGTTTAGTGTTCTTAGTGCTCCAATTGTACTTGGTTATGATGTCATTGTGTTTCACCATTCGTGTTCCTAAAAGAATCCATGTTGTTATCTGTTTCAAGGGTCTACTTATGGGATCCTGGCGACACCTCTTAAGTAGGCTTGTGATTTCAGCTGGTTAGTTCGGCGGTTCGATTCTTAGTGCTGAAGTCGGAAGAACGGTTCAAGGGTTCAAGAGGTTTTTTTTTCCACGTTGCCAATTGCATTTGGGGTGTGAAAATCATGGAATCATGACTGTGTGTTTTCAATTATGATTGGCTACTGGACGCTTCATGACCTTCATGGGGCAAGCCTATGTCATTTACAAATTATCAAATTAGTGGTTTGAGACGTGTAGTTGATGATTTACACAAAGAGTGGGGCATCCATCCACTTCATTTGTTCAACCCATCCATACGCATAGTGCACGAGCTCGGGATGCCAATGGCACGAGCCCTTGGGTGTTACACCGGCTCGCCGGCCCGTTTGCAAAGGAAACTTGCGGTTGATGTTCCCATTCTATGTTGAACAGTCGCGATTTACTATCATATATGTATATAGTAAGTTATAAAGTTATATATACATATATGTAATATATGTGCATATGATATAAATAAATAGATATATAAATAGACTGTTTCACAAACACACACATATATATATATATTATTATTATTATTGTTATTATTATTATTATATATATACATGTACATACAATATTTCGTGTATAATATAAACATGTGCGTGAACGTGTCTCCTTTCAACATCCTGTTCCGAACCGTTTTTTGTCGTGAACTCCCAGGAGGCGGAAGTCCCTGACGCCCCAGGCGCTCCACTCCCGTCCGGTGCACTGGCACCCAGGCGTCCTTCTGCGTTCGGCTCGGTCGGAGGTCGGTCGAACGATGAGCTACCAGGTGGGCTTTTGGAACCCCCCGAAATGTGGAGATCTTTCATCCCAATATCTTTGGGTTCAGAAAAAATCCAAATGAATGCCAGACACCATTGGAAAAATGCATGGTCAAGCTGACCAAATTCTGGAAGATGGTTCAATGGTCAACTTGTACCAAAGCATTCTTGTCCCGAGCGGTGCTTTCAATTTTGATCTATTTTGATAATTTTGCTAGTCAACTTGACTAAGGCTGTTGTGTTTTTAAGAACCTTTTGCACCAAATATAAATCTCGAAGAAGAGGACACTGTGTGTAGTTCAAAAGAGTCATACACAAAATTACCAAAATGTGTCAAAAACTGTGTCATTTTAACCTACATTTTTACACTAAGGACACACTTTTTGCAAAATTGAGATGCCTTTCAGCCATTTTTTTGCGGGAGGCGCCAGAAAGTTTGCGATATGCTGGGTCGCATCACTGGTGCATATCAAGGCCGCCATGGGGGGTGTTCGACGCTGACTACTGCAGGATGAACGTTTTATCGCCCGGCTTCTGAAGGAGATAGGACACGAATCTGACACCATGGAATACCTCATGCCAAAAGGAGCCGACATGTCATTCGAACATCATCAACCCAAGTGGTCGGGTGCAATTGAAACCAATCATTTGGTTGTTGCCTATTTTCTGGTTTCAGCAGCCCACCCAATTGTTTTTCCACCCGGGTGCCAACCCGACGAACCAATCTGCACAAGTCTACGATGGGAAACGTGTCCATTGCCCCACAACTTCGGCTGCACATGCTGGGTTTGTGGAGTTCTTACTTGGGCAAAAGGACATCCAGGAACACCTAAAAACAATCGCATGGTTTGCTGGCTGGGACAAATGTTGTTCTCGTTTTCTATATTATATGGTTGAACCTGTTGAGATCATTTGAGAACCCCATCTAGCAAAAAATGCCCGTTCACAATGCAAAGCACAACCCATTGAGGGTGCACATACCTGGCGAGTAGCGCTGCAACGCACAATGGAAAAGCTGGAATCCAAGTGCATAAAGTGATGGGTACTGCACATGTTGCGTACCACAGCAAGACATATATAGATCAGAGGAAACATAAATAAAGTAGTGGTCACTTGCTTCATCCTGGTGGGTGTTCTCAGCAGGCATTTGATATCGAGAGTTCGCTTGCTCGCGGCGGTCTGTTTGCACTGAAAGTTATGCCCCACTAGTGCATCCGTATAGTGACCGCAAAATAGGTGTAGAAACTCCATTCCCTCGATGTATTGGAACCCATTGAATTGGAGACCACTCTGATTCGGCCATGGGCAAGAGATCCCCAAGCGGGAACCTGCATTTGTCTCGCCCTCCAGCCACCTGAGAACGTGAGAGACCGCGCATCGCGTCGATAGAAGCGATGTGCAAACGTGTCAAAGCACGGCCATTCGACGGCGGTGCGGGGAAGCTGGTTGCGAACGACATGTCCAACGACCCAAAGAAATGTTCCACCGCAGTACCAAATAACGAGCTGTGCCAAAACAATTTTAGATATGGAGAATTCTGAAGCAAAGAACAAATGATATCATATCATCTCGTATATGTATGCATTTGTTGCCGATGTTGAAGTGGGAGTTCTGGACAGGACCTGAAGCAATCCAAGCAGCGGAGCACCTAAAAACGGCACTCACCTTCCTTCTTCAAGCCGAAAGTTAACGAGGTATGTTTGGATCAGGCGACACGCGCTGACAGTACCTCATATGATCAAAAGATTTGCCTATTGCACGGGTGTAATGAACCCCTGGTGGATTCATTGCAAGTGGCTTGGCGTCGAAAATCCATGTCCAGATTGGCAGAGCTTCGCGCGCTTGGATGAAACCAGAGTACTGTATTGTGCAATTGTGCATGTGTGCAAATCAGTCGCCCAAACATGAGTTCTGGTGAGAGACCAATTCACAAGAGAGTCCTCATATAATTTGGTTTGCGGCGTGTCATTCAACTCCAGCAAACTCAGTACCTGGCACTCATTATTTCAGTCAGGGGCAATTCCTGCTGGAACAAGAGGAGAAGCAATGTCATTGACCTCAGCATTTGTTGTGGAGGATGCTTTTTTTCCTCGTTTCCTGCCGCAGCACCCATTAGATCTATAGAGCTTGCAAGATTCATCCTAGTATTCATACTCTATTCTTGGGTGCATGCGCGTTGCTCAAAGTTCCTGAAATGAATGCCTTCGAGTGCTCCGGGCGACAATGAAGAATTACAGTACATAGTCATGGGCATCATTGTGCCAAACGGAGAAGGAGACCAGAACCGTAACAAGTTGAAGCGATGTTCATGTAAGATGCCTCTCAAAAGGTAACCACACGGTCGCGAAAGATAGATTTTGCGAACTGTTCAGCGAAAGCGTGTGGAAGCGTCCTTGTCGATACCAGCATTCATACTTGGACTGAAGTGCATGTAAGTCATGTAAGTAAAACATCCCATGATTCATGTACAACAGCCCTGTACACTTGCGAAAGTGGTTTTGCACAGAATGCAGCGTGCGAAAGCCAAAGCGCAAGCCTCGAAAGGACGAGCAAAAGAACTGCAAAAGAAGAGTCCACTAGAAAGAAATTCTTGATAGGTTTACGCTCGAGTGGATTTGCATTGGCCCATCCCAGTCGTTGATTATGCGTTTTTTTCCAGGCAAGTTCTGCCAGGGCCCCGATGCTTGCGCACCTTGGCTAGAGCAGTCGAATCTGCCAGGCAGAGGGACGAAGCAGCTGTGAGTGATACAACTGATCAACAGTACTATAACTTACAGGTTTCCATGTTTATTGCAGGATCGCCGCACCAAACTACATGGCAAAACCAGAATTCTTGCTCCACGGGTGTGCACACTTCGTTTGAGAAACCTTCGTGGTTTGCGCAAGGATGCACAGGAGACCGTTTTGTGGGCGACACAAAAAGGCCTCACCCTGCCGTACATGGACCAAACTCTGAACTCTTGCGCCAAGGGCGCTGTACTTACGCCTGGATTTCTTTTGGTGCGACCAAGTTTGAGAACGCACAGGAGTTAAATATACCGCCCGGGAGAGAGAAAATAGTGCTATGCGCACCTTTTTGGGTGGAACATGCCACGAATCCCACCAGGTTAGCTGGCAATGGGTCAAGATACCCTCCAAACCCATGGACAAAAACAAAAAATCCACGAATGTCACGAAAGTCTTCCCTCCCAACAATGCTTTGCGAACCCCAACTTCAGTCCGATGGTTCAAAAAGCCGACAACCCTACGCCCTAAACATCCCAACGCATCCCTAAATCCTCGGAAAGAAACATAAAGAAACTGCATAATTTGGTGTCAACCTCTTCCCTTTTGTCGGAGACGCCTTCCGATCTGCCACCACGTCCTCAGGTCACTGCATTGCCGAGGGTTTGGTGCTGAGTGAGGGCTCTTAGGAGTTGCAGGTCGAATTAAAACGCCTTCAAAAGAACACAACCGAACTTGTAAGAAGTCTCCCTTGTTTTGGTGCTATCCTAGTGGATCCACTATTACCTTCCACCACTTCCCGGACGTATGTGGCCGGGCAACTCTTTCGCCGTCCTTCAGCCGACCAGGATTTTGGCCAAGTCACCGGCGCCACATTCTGCCCCAAGGCGCGCGCCACGGCAGAGTGATGAATTGAACACATAAGAACACTGTACCGGACTCCCTGTTGCCGTCGACGGTGGAACTGACGACAAGACGTTTTTCTTACTCTACTTACATTTGTTGATTTATTATGTATGGAACTGGACGTCTAGGAGTTGAGTGGATGATGCCGTGACCGACTCTGAAATCCCGATTCCTCCAAGTGATGTGGCCAGTGAGGAGAGAGGAATGAAACCGAATGACACATGATGGGCTTTCCATATTCTCAAAGACCGCCTAGACGGACTCTTCCCTTCGAAAGCCGACTCAACCCACGAAGCCCACCATACTCAAACCTCCAATGAAAACCTCCCTCCACCTGAAACATGTGCTGCATACGAAGACCTCCCCTCACCATCCTTAACCTCGCTGCTTACACTCCTCGCTGCTCAGGGTGATTGCGGAGAGAAGGCCGGACGCCCCTGGTGTGTGAGCCCACAGTTCCTGAAGCTCTACGACGGCCCCATCGAGCCTGGGCTTGGGACATCGGGACCTGGCGGGGTTTGGTGAAGAATGACTGGCCTTGGCGTCCCACATGCAATGAGGCAACCAAAGGTTCTACTGTTTGTTTCAGGCTCCGCAGGCATGTAATGACGCGAACTTTAAGATGTGAAACAGCATGGCATATCGATTTTGAGCGCATTCTCTTTACTGTGCCGGCTGAAGGAAACACACGTCGGTTTCGTTGGGGGTGGCAACTGCATAAAATGCCGCGCCTGCCATGGTGCCCTCGTGAGCACATGTCTTGCTGTAAAATGCATCGTGTTTGATTGGGAACTGCCATATGACATGACCGTGTTGTTGGTGTCAATGCTAGGTGAGGGTATCACGTCCCACAGGTGCGGTTTGATTGCCAAACAGTTGATGTGCCAAACACTTGAGTAAGTAGTTTGGCTAGTTTTGTTCGTCGAAGTCGGAGCTTTGAGTCTGTGCAAGTGATGTGCTTAGAACAGTGGAGATAGGAACGGAGGAGACAGGAGTTTGCCAGAACAAAAGACCAGATGAGATGACGCAACTTCATGGCTGCACTTCACTGAGAGTCAGCTTGCTGCTTTAGCAGTTGAAGACATCAGGTGTTTGTTCAAGACACCAGGTCTTGACCCCAGGTCTTGGTTGAGCTGTTTGTGCCGCATGGATTTGCTCATGAGAGAAATAGAAGCCGTGAGGAGATGAACATGTGTGTGAGAAACAATGGAATCGCTCAAAGACCGCATTAAAAGCACATGTGATCGCAATGTCATTGGGAGAAACATCTTAACCGCATGTGTAGCATCTTTACAGCACGGTCGAAACTTGTTTAAAGACACTAGTGGGTGATTGTATGAGCTGCAGCTGGCTGCATCAATCTGAGGATGAGAAGACAAAAGGATGCAAAAGGAATAACGTGCCCCCATGTGTGAACGATGATCTATGATGATCTATGGTTTTGCCCGTTTCTTGGTGAGCTGTTTGGTGCATCTCCAAAAAAGAGACCTGCTCGGACTGACACTAGGCCGTAGGAATGCCCGTTTGGACAGACGTCGTAACGGCCATCGTGCAAGGAGATCAATTGCAAGGCCTCAGGCCGTGGCACCACGGAACAGGCCCTGGCGGAAGACGCATCGATCCATTCAAACCATCAGAAGCAGCTTGTGGAGGAAGACTTTTGGGGGTGTCAACTCTCCAGCCTCCAGCCTCCAGCGTTAAGGCTTTGTTTGGAGCAGCTGGAGGACCAAGGGTTGTTTCAGTGAAAATCAATCAAAGCCTCAATCAGCTATAGAAATTGTAGAACTGGACGGGCGCAAGTATATAGGGTGTATTTACTGGACTTCATCACTCAGTGACTCAGTGGGCCCACTTAGTTGGTCGCAAGTACTGGTTCGCAAACCCGAGCTAAGCAACTGATTCTTGCATGGGCCACTCAGTTGTAGGGCGCATAGGCTGCTCTACATAGGCTGCTCAGCTGGGAATATGTGCTTCTCAGCGCTGATCGCCGCTCCGGGGCAATCCCAGTGGCTGTTGGTGGTTCCTCCGCAATGAGCCGGGCAAGGACACGCTGGGTCAGCGCGAGCATGCGCGAGCGCGTGCTTCGTGCGGTGTGTTTTTTTCGCTGCACTGGGTTTGGTGGCATCTCCTATAGCCAGTGAGAACTCGGTTCTGGGAAGGGATTTTGCTCAGGAGAAAGTCGTAGGACATTGTAGGATTGAGGTGATCCAATGTTATCCATCCTTTGTGAGTTCAGAATTCCAACCCCACTTAAGATTCAGATGATTAAAGTGTGACAGTAACCTACTCAAGCCCTGTGGTTCGGACAGGCTGGCACTGGACGGGCCTCATATAGACTCATACTCAGCCTCTCAAACTCTTCAGACTTCAATTGGTTGCCTCAAAAAAAACTGCTCGGAGCACCCAGACCAACTGGCCTCAGGAGCTGAACCGTTTGCCAGGGGTGATTGTGTGGAAGAACGCCCCTGACACGCGTTTGCTGAAAAGGCGAGACCGGTCGAGGACGCCGGAACCCGGTGGGATGTCTCCTCGGTCTGGACCATTCCTGGTCGGGTCGACGTTCCTGTCAGGTCTGGCGTGGGTTTGAAGATGTCCGAAGCACGGCTTTGGGCCACCACCGGGCAACTGGTGCCTGGGATTGAGGAAGTGCTGCTTTCATCGCTTGCGAGGTTCTTTTTCGGGGAGTGAAGACATTCCCGTCAGTGTGAACATCTCATGCGCCAGGCTATGATGAGGTGCTAGGTGACCATTTGGGAGAGGAGGTGTGGAGATTTGTGGAGGGTTCAAAGTCTCTTCCAGGCTGGGGGGAAGGCAATCCTGATGTCCTGCAAAAAGAGGTGATGCAGTCGATCCGCGTTTTTCTATGCCACATTGGATAGGCGTGTCCTAGTCCGGTGAGAAATCCGTATATTCGTGTGATGAAGTGCAATGACTTTGGGGCTCGACTCAAGATGAGACCGAGAAGGCAATCGTGGTCAGTCGACCACCTATTAATTGATGTTTCTTTCAAGTGTGGCAGGCTTGATTGCCTCTGAACTGCCAACAAAGAGTCCAAACAAAACACCAAGCGAGCCTATTTTAATCCAGGCCCCTATCTTAACGTGTTGCTCTAAAAACACAATCCTCTTGGAAAAGAGACAACGCAGCTACCACACGAACGTTCAAGGCCTCGCCGGCCGGGCATCGCATCGTCACCGATCTCTCCGTGCCAAGGTGAACCCTTCCGACTTTGCCGCGGAGGGCACCGACGTCACGTCGTGGGGGTACTCGGTCCTCGAGCATCTCGTGCCACGTTGAACCCGCCGGTGGATGGTTATAGTAGATGTTTGGCATGAGTGAACTCGGTGAACATGTTTGGCCCATTCTGGTGCAGGGGGCACCCGTCGTGGCCTCCCAAACTGATGCACCATGAATCACTGCAGCGATTTGGTTTGCTCAAACCTCGCCGCGAAGGCTAGTGAGACCGATCGTTGCCTCGGGCTGCCTAGCTTCCATCTTCCTCAATGGCTCGAGCTTGGGACACCTACACTCGGACGAAAACTTACATCATGGAAGTGGAAAATAAGCCCTTGGAAGACTAACAGGTGGTTTTCCACTTCCATGGTAGTGAGTCAGAGTGTGACATGTATTTGTATTTACGTTCTATTCTATTATATTGTGTATTCCCCATGGGCAATTTTGCCATGTTTTGCCGTCATCCAAGTTTCATGATTGCATTCTCAAAGAGGTATGGGAAAAGGATGGAAAAGACATCAGAAAACTTGTGGAACGTTCATGGAGTGTGTATCCATTTGCGTTGCCCATGTCTTTTTGCGCAAGTTCGGGTCATCACCTTCTGTCCGCGTCATGCCTGCAGATGAGGCCAAGCATGCGATTCGTTTTCAGCCTCTGAACTTTGGTAGCCCATGGGTAGTCCCATAGATTGGTGTACGTGTTATTGTTGTGCCGAAGGTGTCCCAAACAGTGCCAAAGTTTAGCATTCAATGCGTCCTGCGTACCTCTCGCAAATCTACATTGAAACCTGACCTTTGCGATGCTCCTTTGGTTAAGGAGCATGTAGGAGGTTAAGCGACTTCAACCAGTGAAAAGTGCTGGCCACGAAATTGCACAAGTTTCAAGACAATTTTATGAAGGAGTTCCCCTGAGGGTTCCAGGTGAGTTTACTGTGGGTTATCCAAAGCCGCCTGTATAATGTCATTCAGAGTGGCACCTGCCCTGCGTGCAACAGGGCTGCAACGCGCGCAGAAAGAAGTCGAGCTTGGCAGCTTGCGCTTTGCTAGCCCAAGCGCTTTGGGACAGTGGCTGAGTATGCAACCATGGACCATGCCAGTATGGCCATGCAGCGCTGTGTTTGTGAGAGGTTTGCGAAAAGAAACCAAAAATGTTTATAAATATTTCAAATATCATGGATGGGTGTCCACCTTGAAGTTGTGATCGAACAGCTGCTTTCAGAACGACGAACTGTTTGAAGTTCGTTTCCCGCCACGCTGCGCCGAGGTCAGAGGCTCGGCGAATGACCGGAGTCCCGTTCGGAACGTGCAGTCCCCGGCACCCCCAAGCGATGAAGATCGGGCGACTCTTGGTTTGGACTCTTGACGGGTGCCCGATCTTCATCGTTCAAGATGAGCCACGGGTATTTCAGGCCAGGCCGCGGCAGACCAATCTTGGAAGATGAAGTTCCCCTGCCAGAATGTAGCTGACGTGGCGAGTTCGCTCAGAAATGGTGGTGGTTCAACGTGACCTCTGTGTTCACCCTGCACTCCAAATTGCGTTCGATGGAAGCAAAATAATAACGAGTATTATCCTGGCCTTCGGGCAATCGTGTTCATGGGCATCCCATCCATGTTCATCTCGCAGGGTCGTTCGACAGCTTGTTGTTTCGACACCCAGGGAATCAAGAGGAGATCACTGCGATGACCCTGACAGACTGGAGTGATTGGTACCCCAACTGGTGAGCACAAAGCAGAGTCCCTATGACACAGCTGCATCCACCTATTCCTTTTTTAGAGTGGTTTTACGATCTTGAGCTGTCTCCTCATCCTCTCAAGATCCTGCAGGTGCCCAACGCTGGGGACACCCTTCCGCCCGGTGCAGCACGGCCTGCGCTTGGGCTGCAGGATGCTACAATTGTTTGTCCTATGTCTTTTTGGGTTTGGGGTTAGGGGTGCTTGTCAATGAGTCAGCGCGGGGGCAACACCAGGATTCGCGTGGGTGCACGCCACATGAAACTGCTAGACTCCACTACACCGCCCCCGCCCCCTGATTCAAGAAGATCATTTTTTGTAGCTCCTTGAAGTTACAGCCCAAAGTCTCCACTTGAGGCAAGAAGGGAAAGAGCGCACCAAGCTGATTCTGATACCCATGCGCATCCGTTCTGTCCACATCTGTCCACCAGATCCGTCACTTATGATAAAAGATCGTTGGCAGATCCACAAGAATCATCCCTTAATTCCATTCAAACATCATCCCTCAATCTCCTGTATGGGATTGGATTGGATCTTCAATTCCCTGCGTCTCCAATCCAATCCACATCTAGATCACCAATTGGTGTTCGCCATCTTTTCGCCGAACACCTACAGTCGAGGCCCCCAAAAAGGACGACCCTCGGCGAACAGCAACGCCCCACATCTCACCGGCGTCGGAACCGGCGTCCCCCTGTCGGTCCTTCCAGGTATCTCGACACTTGCCTGGGGAGATGGAGGATGAGGATGCTGAAGCGACTTCGTTGAAAAGTCATGACAAGTCCCCCCGTCTTAGCAAGACCTTGTCCATGTTTGTCCCACATCTCAGTGGAGCCAAAGGCGAGCCAGAAGATTGGCATACCCAAAAAATCCCAAAAAGAAGACCCTGGGGCTGTCATGTTGGTAGGAGGTGGAACCTATTTGGGGACGGCAGATTCACGAAGGGCGATGTAAACGATCGATGTATAGCGGGTCAAGAGAGCGACTCCTCTTGAGGCCCATCAAGTCAATCTCACTTCATGGCTTTGCAATCATTCCCTGCACTTCGAGAAGCAGCGTTTCAGAGAAGTAACATGAAGTAGCCTCTTCTTGGCGTTGTCCAATATACAACGGATCAGACTTTGGAACGGGCGAACAGTTTCCGGGTACAGGATGCAGATTTGGGACAAACCGGGCCCTGGCATTCGAACCTGAGGTCTCCATGGTGTCCACCGCCACTGGCACGCGTGGACTCGCGGCAGGAAGTGCCGGTGCCGCTGCGAGTCCCAGTGCAGTTTCGACGGCGACGGTGGGAGCACCGACACGCTCGCAGATTCCACATCCCAAGCAGAGAATTGGCAACAAACCAGGCGAAAACGGGTGCATCGGCATCGGGGTGGTGGTCGTTTTGGTGCGGGAAGGCAGCATGCTGGAATCATGACTAGAGGGCTGGGCACACCTAAAGGTATACAATGTTATACAAATACATGTGACGCGATGTTCGAGATGCATGCATGTACCTCCCCAGAAGAGGGAAAAAGAAACAAAAAGGATTTGGTCGCGTCCGCGTGTTGACATGGCGTTTTTGAATGCAAGCGGAGCCGCATCTCAAGAAGCGGAGCTGTATGTCCTCCACATGATTCAGTTGGCAACCACAACGAATGCCTCGCATGCACCGCCACCCATCGAACGCGAAAGAACACCGCCAAAGTGAGATGCCAGGTGGCGACAAGTCCGAGTCCTACGAGAATCGAGAGGAAGGAGGCTCACACCTTGACCAATTAGGCCGTTTTCTGCTAAAAGAACCTCCGTTGGATTCTACTGAAGGCCTGAAGATTTACTCTGGTTCTCAGGGAGTATCCATTGTGATCATTATGTTGATCCCACAAGGTTATTCAGATTGATTGCTTGAGGTTTGATGATGAGCAAGTTCACCCTATGCCCCAATGTGCGGCAGGGATGCTGTACCCTAGGTGTCAGTTTTGAAAGCTGCCGCTTAGTGTTACAGATGTACATGATACATGTCATTTGGGGATGAGACTTTGCTCGAGTTGAATGCTGAAACCACACTCCGAAAGGGGAATGTGAAAATCACGAAAGTCATGAGCACCGTGCGCTGGGCAGAGGATGTAGCTCAATGATTCAGGATTTGGACAGATCGTTTATTTTTCCTATTTGACTTTAGTTGCACCCTGTTCTAGATATGATATGGGCCCCTTGGACAGAATTGAATCATGTTGAATTAAACATCAAACATCAATGAAATATGAAATGTATATGTTTATGTATTTTGAACCTCCGCATCCGGGCGTTGATGCTTCCCTTTCGTTGTGGGCTCGAGATCAGGCTCCGGCCGTTTGGGTGACGAGGAGGAAGACTCCATGCCACTACTGGCAGGCACCGTTCGAATTGGCGGGGCCGGTGCTCCAGCGGGGATCGCAGATGTTTTGGCAGACCTGTTTTTCTTTGTTTTTTTCTGTAAGAGTCACATCCGACTTGACAAGAGAGGATGGTCAAAGGATTCCGCTTGTTGGATCTCGCTGGTAGATAATACCTGAATTAGTTGGATCCAACATCTACACGTTCCAAGTTTCTTAACAGCCATTCTACGATTGAGAATAGGTAAGTACGTTTTAAGTAAAAGACTGTGCGCAGTGATCCGGTGACAGTTTAGAAGGGTGGAAGATGCATCCTGAGATGATCATCCACAAGCAGACTGAATATGGAAGACTTTGAACGTGTAGTCTACCATGATGTGCTTGTTAGGACGCTCAGCTTCTTAGCTACAAATGAGTGAGTGCATGACGTGTGTGTGTGTGTGCTGTACTACTGGGAGTCTATTCCCTCCAAGCTTTCGAGCGATCCCTCCAAGACAGGTCCGCTAGAAGATTCGCTGGTCCCAGTGGTTGATGGAACAAAGGTTTGCACCACCTTTACAGTACTTCATCCCGAAAGCCATTTGCTTTGACTAGCAGTCAGTGTATTTGGGCGTCGTCTATTTCAATGTTTGATATCTTCCTTCAACAGTAGGCCCCCTAGATGTTCTTGTCCAACCGCTTCAGGAAATTTGTCCTTTCATCATCTTTCATCCATGTGTCGCTCGATTTGTGGCTTTTTAATAAGCATAATGTTCGCTATTGTCCGCAGTCCTCCCACTTTAACAGCATGTTCCCTAGATGATCTAGATGTGCCTGCCTCTTGTTTCCCCAGCAAGGCGCTAAGCGCTCTGCAACGCTCTCCAGGTCTTTTGGGCCCACCGGGCTTGAGCGTTGCTTGGGCACCCAGAGAAGTCGGAAGGTGAAGACATGACATGGAGCGTCCGTGAGTTTCCCAAGGCCATGGAGTTGTGGGTTGTGTGGGGATTCGATGTGACTCTTCATTGCTTCAACCGGGAAAGGTCTCCCAAGCAACGCGGACATCCGGATTGGTTGTGGAAGGGTGTCCCAAATCGAAGAGAGGAACGCATGAAACATCCCTGCAAGACCATATGTAAAGGAAAGTGTGCCAAGAGTGAGGATGCCCATGCCCTTCGCATGCGCCCTTTTAAGAGTCTCAGTCCGGCCTTGCTTTTCAGAAATCGCATGGGGGCAGTGCATAGATTCATAGATCAGTGAGTGCGCCTTGGGCCTGCAAGCTTTCATCATGAAAGAATGACAAGATGATTTGCATACTTGGTGCATCTTGGTGATATTCTCTCCCAGGCCAATGGGCTCCTATGTCATTTACCTGGCATTTTGCTGATTGCGCTGTCACAAGATGCAAAAGTAATTTACCATTTTGTCGACCATTCAGGCGGGAGAGAGGCAAAGGAGGCGCAGAGCGCTGCTGGGCTACAAATTAGAGATCGCTGGCCAGGTCATAACCTGCCACAACAACCTAGAAACAGGTGACTGATCAAGTGAAGGCTATCACATTACATCATGCTCCTGCTACATATGGGACACCATATTGTTTTCTTTGGCTGCATCCAGCCTCATTGGGGGAATTCAACATTTATATAGATTCTCCCCAAAAAGACCAGGTTCCTGATTTGCGTATCAGTTTGAGCTGATTTTCTGGTGGCTTTCCGCTTCCAACCCAAACATCGGCTGTCGAACGGCCCGTAGTCTCATTGGGAAGGCAACTAAGCAGAACAAAGCCTTGCAACATGGCTACACGTAGGAAGCAAGCGCATGTCCCCCACCCACCACATTTGTTCCTGAAATTGAATTGAGTCTACGTTGCGATTCTGTCAATTGCCTTGTCACGAAAGGTAGCTTCAGCTACCTGAGTTCTCCTTGCTTTAGCAAAAATTTATGACAATCTGGAGTTGGGATTATGCATTAAGTTCGGTCCAGTAAGAAAGGATTCTGTTCGACAGGGGGGGGGCCTCGCCCCCCTTGATCATTCCACCCCATGCGCCGTTTGGGTCACATCCATCCACCTTTGACGCCGTGATGGACTTCTACCAAGGTTACTTGTGATTGCCTGTTACCTTTCGTTCACCTCCTCCTCTTTCAAGTGTTTTTGCCGTTCCAGGCGTTCTCATTTTCCAAGGTTGATGAACGAATTCTTGAAAACAACAATGTTAAGAGGGAAATCCATTGATCCACCTTCGAAATTCCAAATATTCCCAATTATATCGATACGAATTTCCAATTTTAAGTTGAATTGTAAAAATATATATATATTCAAAAATGTAAATTGAAATTCAATATAATTAATTTGTATATTATTTTAATGTAATGTAAGTAAAATATATTTGATTTAATATATATATATATTATTTTTAATAATATATTTTAAGTTATATTAATATAAATTAAAATAATTAGGTAGAATTTTACGATTTATTGATATATGATTAATTGGAATAAAATATATATATATAGGTTATATAATTAATTTATGATATTTTATATAATTAATCGATATTAATTTCCGATTAGCGTCGTTATACGATTTAAATGCATGGATTTTTTTAGGATTAATGCTTAGGAATACGATATTAGTATCGATATTATTTTAGAAAGTGCGTAAAATTAATAAGAATTTTTTGTTATATTTATTTGGGGGATGGGGGATAAAAAAAATGTAGGATTTTGTACGAATAAATTTATGGGTGGAAAAATATTTGCGTAAATAATTAAGTTCGTAAATTGCATTGGTCTGAGGTTAATTAATATTGATTTTGTAATATGCATAAAAAAAAGATTTGTTGTGTAATGAGGTTGCGTGTAATTTTATGTATGTAAAAGTATCGTTGAGAGGGAAAGTAATATTTAGTATGATTATTGTGTGTATAATAAATTGATATAGAATGATCGGTTGAAATTGAGAATTTGATTTTTATAAAAATATATATGTAAATAATATAATTGTTGATATAAGATTAATAAGTAAAAAGCGATAATACCATATGATATTACGTATATGTATTCGTGTGGTTTATATTTGTTAGTTTATTTTATTGTTAAAAGCGGCGTTTCGTCGTTTTTTTGTCGTAAGTGGCGGTATATTTTTCCTAACAAAAATGATAATTATGTTCTTTTGATTGTTAGATATATTTTAAGTGTCGGTGTATTAGTTTGTGGTATTTACCGATTAGCATCGGTATAATATCAAATATAAGTATGGATATTTTATTTCGATCGCGTATATAGCTAGTTTTTAATATCGGCGCTTAATTTTTGTTATGTGTATTGTTAGCTTATGGTATTGGTGCTTATTGTTTTTATTTTGCGCTCTGTTAGTAGCGCCGGTATTGTATTTCTTATACGTACGTAGTGAGTTTATAACATTTAGCGCTATTATTACAATCCGTACTAGTATCGGCTTCTTATTCTATTAATTCGGCAAATTGTTTCGAAAGCGGGCGTAAATAATTTACTAATATTTGAAATAAGGATTCTATAGCTTCATTATTAAGGTAAAAACGATTACCACATATATGCAAGCTATAGTATTAATCCGACACCTAATACAGGCACTAGCAACTTGATTCCACCACGTACACAGGCAGCTCACAACACGAGTACCGACACCCGGCAGCACCGCCACCACCCTGTCTCCACCACGCGCAGTTAGCTTACAACACCGACACCTAGCACCAGCACCCGGCACCAGCAGCACTAATTTGTCTCCACCACGTACACATAAATGTTAGCAACCTATTTCCATCACGTGTATAGCTAGCTTACAGCACTGGCACCTAGCACGGGCATCCGGCATCAAGAATCTGTTTCTACCACGTGCCCAGCCAGCTCATAGCACTAGCACCCGCACCTAGCACTAACAATTTGTCTCGAAAGCGCACACGGGCAACTCATTATTATTTGAAGTAAGAACCCCATAGCTTCGCTATCTGAGGAAAAATATTCAAGTAACGCTTATATGGGTTTTTGTATTTGGGTGAATTTAAATATTAGATTGTATGTTAGTTGCTTTTTGTATAATGGAATTTGATTTTTGGTCTTAATCGTTAGTTTTGGATTAAAATAAGTATTTTTCTTTGGGTTTTAATCGGAAATTAGGAAAGGTAATTTGATTTGTATTGAATTTGATATTGTAAGAAATTATTTTAGCCTTGCGTCGTCGTTGTTTGGGTCATATTTTCTATTTTTTACGTCGTCATGGATTTCTATTAGGGTTATTTGAGGATAGTGTTTTTAATTGGATTAGTTTCGAATGATAATATTATTCGTCGGATTTTTATTACGAATGTTTTTTGGTTAGTGTCTTTGTCGGGTTTTAATTGTTGGTTCCGGATGGTAATTAAAATATGTTAGTGGATTCTAATTTCCAATTTTATATGATTTTTCGTCGAATTTTAATTACGAGATTTGATCGATATTTTATTGGATATTGATTACGAATTCGCTTGATAAAAATATTTACCGATTTTTAGATATTTTGTTGTAAGTTAACATATTTTATATACCTATATATTAAAATTATGATACGAAATATCAAATATATTTTAGAGTTATTCGTAAGCATTACAATGATTTGATTTTCATATTTTCATTTGATAGATTATATATAATATATTAGCAAATAGGCTTATGGATTGGGTAATCTGGGCAGTGGTCGCGGCACTTATATCTTTTGTTAAAATTATTATCGCGATGTTCGTACCTACGAATATTGAATATGTTTTTAGATTAATTTTATATTATGATTCTATTTATTTTTAATATATATTTATTATGATAAGAAATAATAACCTTAGATATTCGACTATGCAATCGTAATTTATCTCCATTTTTGTCGTGTTATAATCTTAGGACTATGATACCTCCATTGAGTTACAACCCATGGAAGTCGACCATGCTGCACAGGACGTTCGTTCGATCTTTTCTATCCCGATTTCTCCCCATATTTGTAAGAAATGTTACGTAAATATTTGGACCTCATATGGTATCGATATCCATCATGCACAATATTAAGAATATATTATTGACCATGAAGCAAATGTTGGCCTTGCCAACCACGGATTATCTTCCTTCCGCCAAGATTTACAATTGTCCGATTTATTAGGCAAAACGGATGCAAAGCCCTTACAATTATTAGGCAAAACGGATACAAAGCCCTTACAATTCATCTATACCAGGAACATCAGGCTGAGAGGCCAACACATTTTCCATTCCAAACGGATCGGGATATATTGTCGGGACAATTTGCATGCAATCATTATTACAGAATATTTATTATGGATGAGACATTGCTCCCACACTTTAGACGAATTGCCTATCTAGTCTTATTATACGATTGGATTAAGGGGAAATATTTTGACACTATACCAGACAATGCCGCCCCGCCACCGCCTGAGGGGAATCCGATACCGTCCACCATGTTTCAGCTTGAAGCCGCGGGCACCCAATTACAATTGATGGAACCTTGTGATGCATGGAAAACGTATACAATGATCGATTAGGCCGATGCCTGCATTTATGCTAGAAAATTTCATTCAATGATATATATAATCGACCCTAATCTACACTTATTTATGGGAATTTCCAAATTCTATTTTGTTGTTAATCAGGTCTTTCGCTTCATTAATGCCCTAAGCATCCACATCTCCAAACACTAGACCTCGATTTATATTGTATTTCTTCGCATAATATTGTGATCCATGAAAATGAGACCACAAATTGCCCTTATTGCTTCAATATTAATCAATAAATAAAATCCAGGTTCTATATCAATATTAAGTTAATTAATTCTCCTATCGAAGATATTCGAACGTCCATGGATTTAAAAATGATGACGGACGATTAATCCTATTAAGATTTCCTTCAGATTTATATAAATTATTCTATA